GATACAAGAAGGGGGCAAATTGCTAGAAATGAAATCATAGGGAGTTGATTGCTACATAGGGTATAGTTGGAGGGGGCAAATTGTAATTAACCCATAATAATATAAAATAAGAACTCTAATAATAATATAAAATAAAAACTCTAACAAACACATTTAATAGAAGGCATAGAGAAAGTGGGTTATGCATTGGCAGAAGACATTATACGATAGTGACCTCCAATATGTTTTAAAATGCTAGCCAACTAAGAAATACGAATACAGATACGACCAAGGATTAAAATTTCGTTTAGGTGTATTATTTCAGTCACTTAGGAAATGGAAACGTTTCGACGTGTTTCAAAAATGTTTTCGACCCATTTTAGAAACATAATGAAAAAAATAATAATTTAAGAATTATTTTTCTAAAACATTGATTGAAATATATCAAAGTATCCTAAAATACGTTGAAATATTCTAAAACAATTGTGCAAATACATTGAAATATTATAAAACATCAAGAAATATTATAAAACATCAAGAATCATTATGGAATATCTCAAAATATTATAATTTTGATTTCATTACTGTTTCGTTTCGGTCTCCTTGGAAACAAAAATGTTTCGGACGTTTTGACCATTTCGAAACGGTATTTTGATCCTTGAATACGACACAACATGGACACGCAGGCACGATATTTAAAAAAAAAAAGTATGATACAAACACATTGGGGACACTGTACAAATAATTGTGTTTTTTATATAAAAATTATATAACTTACCACAAATATAGTGATAATAATATATTATTCATAAAAATTCAGTACTTTTATAATAAGTAAATGTTATATCTAGTCATCTAGTGTGAATTTATATATTAAAGCATTATAATAGTCAATAATCATCAATTTTTATGTAAACATCATGTACTCAACATATGTAATTTAAATGATTGCTCTTATTTTTTCAAATACACTTTTTAAAACATTTATGTATCATTTGCTTTTATTATCATAGTTTGAGTATAATTTTAACATGTCTAGCCTTGGTAATTATACGTTCTCTCATCATATAGTCAAATTTTAAACTTTTTTTAATCGCATGTCAACACGTGTATTATTTAGTAGTAGACACAAGCGGAACAAATGTCGGACATGTCCCGTAAGAAGTGTCAAACACCTACCCAAAATTAAAACTTTATTATTTAATAATGAACACCGGTAAAAGAGTATCAAACGCATGTCTAAGAATATCTAAGGAGTGTCTGTGTCCAACATGGATACGTCACCTTCTTGAGAGTGTTGTACTTCATAGTTAGCCACCATTAATCTTTTTATTCAAAAAAAAAAATTAGCAGTCAACTGTAATTACCTCCTTATTGACAAGTCTCAAGAATTCTTCACGCTCCCTGCTCACCGACTGAAAGAGTTAGCACAAAAGCAAGTTAGCATCTTGAGCAGGTGATGTTATCTTATACATGACACCGAGCAAAACAAACCATGCACAATTCTTACAGATGCTGATGCTAAAACAGCCAATGCACGACTAAGCTCACAAAGTTGCTCTTGTTTATCCAGTGTTTTAGCTTTTGTCTGTTCTCGTGCCTCATTTTGCGTCGAAGTAATCATCTCTTCCAAAGCCACATCTGGTTGCCTAGCTGCAGATTCCTTCATCTTGGCTTGATCTTCTTCCTCTTTCTCTTCCTCCTCCTGCAATCAACAATTTAGAACCACTAGTAAGAAAGAAAGTTATTAAAGACCAACAAATCAAAGAGCTGTAACCTTAAAGAACTTCCAACACTACCCAAAGAGAAGTTCAGGTTAACATATTCAACCTTGATTAATTCTTCTTGCATTTCTAGGAACTCCAGCTTTCTCCTCCTTTCGGAACAGAATCTTCGGATGGCAATGCTGTGACTCCAACCGTATCCACCACCTCATCTGGCAGCGAGGATAATGTAGCTTGAACAGCTTCCTCTGGTCTCACTTTACCAGATACACTGAAAGCTCTGCAGAGGCATCAGGATAAAGACTGATGAATTTCGTTCAACATCTCAAAACACAAAAAAACAGGTGAAGAATTAAGTAACCTTGAAAGAATCAACAGTGAAGATGGCACCGAATGGTTGAGAGACAAGTCCACCCAATCACGTAGCTGCACAGAGGAGCAAAATTCAAATGTCTAGATCATCCAAGTATTATTTTCCATCCTTGAAAATAGAACAAAAAGAACTCACAGCTGAGAATCTGTGAAACATAAAGGTTCAACTAGGGTGTTTCTAGCAGAAAAGAGTCTGAAGTTTTTACCAAATCATGTTTGACTATTGTATTAGAAGTACATCCACAAAATTACAATCAAGAAACCCATATATGACTACTTCAAACAAAAGAGATGTCAGGTTGTATTTGTACAATTGAAAGGAAGATAAATAAGCCATCCTGGTGGATGGCTTATTTATCTTCCTTTCAATTGTACAAATACAACCTGACATCTCTTTTGTTTGAAGTAGTCATATATGGGTTTCTTGATTGTAATTTTGTGGATGTACTTCTAATACAATAGTCAAACATGATTTGGTAAAAACTTCAGACTCTTTTCTGCTAGAAACACCCTAGTTGAACCTTTATGTTTCACAGATTCTCAGCTGTGAGTTCTTTTTGTTCTATTTTCAAGGATGGAAAATAATACTTGGATGATCTAGACATTTGAATTTTGCTCCTCTGTGCAGCTACGTGATTGGGTGGACTTGTCTCTCAACCATTCGGTGCCATCTTCACTGTTGATTCTTTCAAGGTTACTTAATTCTTCACCTGTTTTTTTGTGTTTTGAGATGTTGAACGAAATTCATCAGTCTTTATCCTGATGCCTCTGCAGAGCTTTCAGTGTATCTGGTAAAGTGAGACCAGAGGAAGCTGTTCAAGCTACATTATCCTCGCTGCCAGATGAGGTGGTGGATACGGTTGGAGTCACAGCATTGCCATCCGAAGATTCTGTTTCCGAAAGGAGGAGAAAGCTGGAGTTCCTAGAAATGCAAGAAGAATTAATCAAGGTTGAATATGTTAACCTGAACTTCTCTTTGGGTAGTGTTGGAAGTTCTTTAAGGTTACAGCTCTTTGATTTGTTGGTCTTTAATAACTTTCTTTCTTACTAGTGGTTCTAAATTGTTGATTGCAGGAGGAGGAAGAGAAAGAGGAAGAAGATCAAGCCAAGATGAAGGAATCTGCAGCTAGGCAACCAGATGTGGCTTTGGAAGAGATGATTACTTCGACGCAAAATGAGGCACGAGAACAGACAAAAGCTAAAACACTGGATAAACAAGAGCAACTTTGTGAGCTTAGTCGTGCATTGGCTGTTTTAGCATCAGCATCTGTAAGAATTGTGCATGGTTTGTTTTGCTCGGTGTCATGTATAAGATAACATCACCTGCTCAAGATGCTAACTTGCTTTTGTGCTAACTCTTTCAGTCGGTGAGCAGGGAGCGTGAAGAATTCTTGAGACTTGTCAATAAGGAGGTAATTACAGTTGACTGCTAATTTTTTTTTTTTGAATAAAAAGATTAATGGTGGCTAACTATGAAGTACAACACTCTCAAGAAGGTGACGTATCCATGTTGGACACAGACACTCCTTAGATATTCTTAGACATGCGTTTGATACTCTTTTACCGGTGTTCATTATTAAATAATAAAGTTTTAATTTTGGGTAGGTGTTTGACACTTCTTACGGGACATGTCCGACATTTGTTCCGCTTGTGTCTACTACTAAATAATACACGTGTTGACATGCGATTAAAAAAGTTTAAAATTTGACTATATGATGAGAGAACGTATAATTACCAAGGCTAGACATGTTAAAATTATACTCAAACTATGATAATAAAAGCAAATGATACATAAATGTTTTAAAAAGTGTATTTGAAAAAATAAGAGCAATCATTTAAATTACATATGTTGAGTACATGATGTTTACATAAAAATTGATGATTATTGACTATTATAATGCTTTAATATATAAATTCACACTAGATGACTAGATATAACATTTACTTATTATAAAAGTACTGAATTTTTTATGAATAATATATTATTATCACTATATTTGTGGTAAGTTATATAATTTTTATATAAAAAACACAATTATTTGTACAGTGTCCCCAATGTGTTTGTATCATACTTTTTTTTTTTAAATATCGTGCCTGCGTGTCCATGTTGTGTCGTATTCAAGGATCAAAATACCGTTTCGAAATGGTCAAAACGTCCGAAACATTTTTGTTTCCAAGGAGACCGAAACGAAACAGTAATGAAATCAAAATTATAATATTTTGAGATATTCCATAATGATTCTTGATGTTTTATAATATTTCTTGATGTTTTATAATATTTCAATGTATTTGCACAATTGTTTTAGAATATTTCAACGTATTTTAGGATACTTTGATATATTTCAATCAATGTTTTAGAAAAATAATTCTTAAATTATTTATTTTTTTCATTATGTTTCTAAAATGGGTCGAAACATTTTTGAAACACGTCGAAACGTTTCCATTTCCTAAGTGACTGAAATAATACACCTAAACGAAATTTTAATCCTTGGTCGTATCTGTATTCGTATTTCTTAGTTGGCTAGCATTTTAAAACATATTGGAGGTCACTATCGTATAATGTCTTCTGCCAATGCATAACCCACTTTCTCTATGCCTTCTATTAAATGTGTTTGTTAGAGTTTTTATTTTATATTATTATTAGAGTTCTTATTTTATATTATTATGGGTTAATTACAATTTGCCCCCTCCAACTATACCCTATGTAGCAATCAACTCCCTATGATTTCATTTCTAGCAATTTGCCCCC